TCCGCCTCTGTCGGAGTGCAGACGCAGAACAGGAAAGTCCGAGCCGAAACTCTCCCGGAGCTGGAGACGAGCTGCGCGGATCCAGGCGATCAACACCTCAGTGACGTCACCCTTGCTGCGCAAGGGGAAGACTGCGGTGTAACGCGAGTAGTCGTCAACCACCAGCAGGAAGTAACGCTCGTGACCCTGCCCACGGACGCGGGCTGGGCCCCACACGTCCATGTGAAGCGTCTGCAGCGGAGCCTCTGTCGGAGGAAACTCGGAGGAGTGAGGAGCAGCGCGCTGCCGCCCCTCGACGCAGGGAACGCAGGTGGGGGCAGGCCCCGGAGGAAGGGGAGGGAGGGACCGGGGGAGGCCAGAGACAAGAAGACGGGAAGCCATGCCTCGAAGACGAGGCAGGGAGGGGTGACCAAGGCGGTGGTGCCAGAGGAGAGTCCGGTGGGACAGGAGACGACACGAGCAGGGGGCAGACTCAGGGCCAGACCTGGACGCCGCAGCAAACACCTGACCCGACGCTGCTACCTGAGCAGACTCAGCGACTGGAGGAGACTCAGTAGTCAGTGTGTACAGGCTCGACCCCGGCTGACGGGTAAACGTGGCCAAGTGACGGCCCGACCGAGCACAGGTACAGTGGGTCACTCGCTGACTCGCAGGAGTGAACTGGTGAACCCCTGCATCCTGGAGGTCAGCACCACTCACCAAGTTCGTAGAGAACGAGGGGAGGTAAAGACCTGACAGGGTGCCAGAAGGGGCCGCCGGACACGGTAGGACAGTGGAGAAGCGGGCAAGGACAGGGAGACCGCCACTGGCCGACTAAGCGGCGTGAGCGTGGTGCAGTCTCGAAAGAAGGAGCGGGAAGCACCCGAGTCAAGGGTGAAGGTGTGCAAGACCGCAGCAGGCGCAGCACCAGAGAGAGCAGACTCACCAGCACCTGGAGCAGTAGACGCACGAGCACCTAGGGCAGCAGCCTCACCGGCACCTGAAGTAGGAGACGCAACAGCACATAGAGCAGCAGACTGGATACCGGGGTCAGGCGGCACACACAGGTGACAGGCACCCTCAGCACTAGTAGACAATGCATACATGGCAGTGAGGATAGCATCATAGTCAAGAGCAAAGATATCTACCCTCTGCCTAAGCAGCTCCACCCAGTCGGGGAGCTCAGCGTCGTCGCCAAACTCTGTACGCCAAGCGTCGCTCAGACGGGCGAAGGAGCGGGACTCTGTGTGACCAGGTGTCCCGCAAGGCTGGCTAGTCCGGACACCCGTGCGAATGACGTACGGGCAGCGAGCAGTACTCAGTGACCCTCTACCCTGAGTGTACCACTCGCGAAGCTGCAGGGGCGAAGGGGTCTCGCGCGGACGACGCTGCAGCTGCACCTGGCCACTACAAGAAGCCCCCGAACTACTCACGCCAGACTCCCACTACGGCCACCCCGACAACCCCAACGAGCGTACCACTCACGAAGCTGCTGGGGCGTGAGGGACTCACGCGGACGGCGCTGGAGCTGCATCTGGCCACGCCAGGAGCAGCAGTAGTAGTAGAAAGAGCAGTAGTAGCAGGAGCAGCAGGAACAGTAGTACGGGCAGGACAGTGCTCACCAGTGGCAAGAAGGGCAGGCGTACGACGGCGGCAACGGCGAGGCCGGCACCACTGTAGGGCGAGGGCTCCGCGGCAGCTGCAGGGGCAGCTGCTCCAGGGGCCAGGGGCAGCTGCTGCAGGGGCGGCTGCTCCAGGGGCCAGGGGCGGCTGCTGCAGGGGCGGCTGCTCCAGGGGCCAGGGGCGGCTGCTGCAGGGGCGGCTGCTCCAGGGGCCACAGGCGGCTGCTGCAGGGGCGGCTGCTCCAGGGGCCAGGGGCGGCTGCAGAGGTCCAGGGGCGGCTGCTGCAAGGGCAGCTGCTGCAGGGGCGGCTGCTCCAGGGGCCAGGGGCAGCTGCTGCAGGGGCGGCTGCTCCAGGGGCCAGGGGCGGCTGCAAAAGTCCAGGGGCGGCTGCTGCAGGGGCAGCTGCTCCAGTGACCAGGGGCGGCAGCTGCAGGGGCGGCTGCTCCAGGGGCCAGGGGCGGCTGCTGCAGGGGCGGCTGCTGCAGGGGCGCGGGTTAGGGCAGGGCGCCGCGGCGGGCAGGGGCGACGCCGCGCGGGTCCCGCAGGGGCGTCACGACGAGCGGGGGCGACACCCGGGTCCCGCTGGGGCGTCGCGACGCACAGGAGGCGCGCCTCGCGGGTCCCGCAGGGGCGTCGCGACGAGGCGGGGGCGACGCGCGGGTCCCGCTGAGGCGTCGCGACGAGGCGGGGGCGACGCCGCGCGGGTCCCGCAGGGGCGTCGCGACGAGGCGGGGGCGACGCGTGGGTCCCGCTGAGGCGTCGCGACGAGGGAGGGGGGGAAACCCGGGTGGCGACGGGGCGGGGCCGCGACTGGTGACGAGGCGGGGCCGCGAAGGGGCTGCTAAGGGGCCGCGAAGGGGCCGCGAAGGGGCCGCTAAGGAGCCGCGAAGGGGCCGCGAAGGGGGGCCGCTAAGGGGCCGTGAAGGGGCCGCGAAGGGGGGCCGCTAAGGGGGGGGCCGCGAAGGGGCCACTAGGGGGCCGTTAAGGGGCAGGCCACTAAGGGGCCGCGAAATTTTGGGGCAGGACGCGAAGCGCGTGTAGGGCAGGCTAAAAAAAAAACTTTCGAATGTGGGCCCTAGGAAGAAACGGTCCCACTAGGGAACCCGCTCTATACCATGTGAAGAATGAGGAATGGGTGCATTGAGCAGCATGAGGAGTACAAGTACCAAACCCTAAAATGTTGTACCCCATATAAGCTACCCCACTACAGCCTACACAAACTATAGTGTATGAGTTTGACACCAGCGACAATATCGGGAGAAATTTTGCAGCAGCGGGGGGGAGAGGATGCGACAGCTGTTTCGCCCCTGCCCGGAGGTTCTCGGAGAGTCACGACAACATCGCCAAGGTAGCTGACGTCATCGGCAGTTCAAGTTCCAGTTTGAAGAAAATGTTTGCGAGGCCAGGGGGGAGGAACGGCAACTGTTTATCGCCTCTGCCCGTTAGTTTTCGGAGAATCGCGACAAAGGCCTCAGCGATTCACGACAAAGCCGCCGGTGGCGCTGACATCATCGGAACCCGAGTACGGATTTTTCGATGGAGTTTTCAAATTAGACCATGGACAGTTACGTGATTCCGCCCAGCTCGTCTAGCGTCGCTGATGTGCTTTAACGGTTTCGCAATTTTTGCGATGGTCTTCGACGATAAACCGACACGATCCGGGATTACGACAGCAGACATTTGAACTGGCTCGTTTTTCAGCAAACGACATGGGTCTCCCGTCAACATCAGTGTAGCAGCGGCGCTGGGTGGCAATTGCTGCCAGCTGGAGATTCTGCAGCAGACAGGTGATTTGATGCTGCCACGCGAGGGTGTTTGGGCTAGCAAGAGTTTTTCAATGGGGGGAGAAAGAGTGCTCTCGCACTGTACTGGTCAGTCTTTCTGCCATTTTTTCAGATAGATTCACCACGATCGACGCTCGCGATGACTCCATCGACATCAACGGCTACCGATTCACCGACATCTGACATCGTGTCAAACTTCCCGCCAACATCTCGTCCATCTCTACCGTCGGATTCACATCCGCGACCTCGACGACTGTCATTCATCAACGGATTTTCACTTCGATATTCGTTTTCAACCGCCCGATCGACATCGGCAGTATCAACGGCTGACATTCCAACTCTGAATTTCGCCTTGGTCAACGCGCTCAGCCACGCGTCAGCTTGAAAGTCAACGTGCTTACACCGTCAGATCGGCTTCAACCGAAGACTTGCAGTTTTCACGCTACCACAAGACTCCGCTTCGTATAAGGGCACCTTATTTAGAAGGTGGGAGAGTGTAATGAATATACATTAATTACTGTAGAGGCTGAGCGAGGACAGCCTTGAGCACTTCGCGTCAGTGTGGCTCGGCCTACACTTTCGTACCGAACCAATGCCGAGTCGCCCATCACCAGTCGCGATATTTCCGAGCCACCCACGTCACGCGGTTCTCGCCTAGAACGTACTCGCCCTACATTTGCTCGCATTCTTCATTGTTTCCCCATTCTATAATCACGTTCTCTTTATAGAAGTCTTCCGCGCACTCTGTTTAGTACAACTCATAGCACACTAGGTGTCAAACGGGTACAAAGAATGAGTCAAAAGAGTACGTCCGAATGAGGTTGAAAAAAGTTTTAAAATTGATCCAGAGCGGTCTAATTAAAACAAAAGATGGTTGGGTAAGGTTTTCTGCAAATACGTGCATTGTTTGGCCCGCCCTAAGACATGAGCAAATACTTACACGCGAAACATGTAAACAGTGATGCGGTGCGTGCGAGCTAGCTAGTGCCAGGCTGGCATTGAGGTTCGGGCTAGTCCCGAAGCGTAAGTCGACACGGCCGGGCCAGCGGTGCATGGTTTGGTGAAACAGTGCGCGCGAAGTTCGCGAAGCCCCGTTAGCAGTAATGGGAAAACAACCGCTGCTGCTGTACGAGATGTTGAGGAAAGCAGTAAGGAATGCTGAAAATTCCCTTACACTATCGCCCCCTCCCCTCCAGAAGCCCTTTCCGCTACGCGAGTATGTGTATGTCGCGGAAACCCTGGCTCCTCAGGTACACTTGCAGGGCATGGTGGTTTTCAATGTTGGTTAGGGGCACCCAGCTGCCTTCAGTTGGCGTGCGGTCCTTCAGACGAATGAGGAACTCAATCGTCTTGATGCTTGTGGGGTGTCTGATGGCTCAAAATCATCTCGGGCTCGACGATCGGCTTCGATGCCGGGCGAGTCATGGATGGTGTACGATGGCGTGGCAGTTGACTTGTGGTTGGGATGTACAAGCGAAACAGGCTCACGTGGAACGATGGGCTGATGTACCGGTCGGTCGGCAACAGTAGATGAGTAATAACTGGAGTGATTATGTGGCTGATTTGGAACGGTCCACAGTAGCGCGGTCGATGCTTTGGTGCGATGGATTGTATTCAATTCTGTGTGACGAGCAATACGTAATCTCCCGACTGACATGTTACTGGGCGGCGGTGGCGGTCAGCATTTTTCTTCGCGATGATGTTGGTTATTATTATTATTATTATTATTATTATTATTATTATTATTATTATTATTATTATTATTATTATTATTATTATTATTATTATTATTATTATTATTATTATTATTATTATTATTATTATTATTATTATTATTATTATTATTATTATTATTATTATTATTATTATTATTTTATTGCGTCTACTGTTCGTGTTCAGGCAGCCTGCAGGATCTCGGGGAACTGTTGTGCGCGAGATGTGGGGTTGTCCGGGCTCGGCATCATAGGAACTGTTGGATTTTGCCTGTAGTTCAGATAAAACAGGGACTGTTGTCTCGTCGCTGATGTGGCGTTGTTCTATGCTAATTCGATCAGCGGCAGCTGCTGCTTCCAAGTTGTCGGGTCGATGCACGTGGCACAAATCAGCTGCTCCATGGTCCGGTTCGTCCGCTCCGTTTGGCCATCGGTCTCGGAGTGGTATGACGAGCTAAACCGTAGCCGGGTCCCTAACTGCTTCCAGAGGTTCTTCCAAAAGTTGCTGGTAAACTTCTTGTCGCGGTCGCTGATTATCGCGAATGATATCCCTTGCAGTCGAACGACGGTTGTTATGGACAGACGAGCGACTTCTTCAGTTGAGATTGATTTCTTGCACGCAACGAAGTGAGCCATTTTCATCGGTCTATCAACGACGACCATAACCGTGTTGTTATCCCCAGGGCTCGAAGGTAACCCTGTGACAAAATCTATGGTAACTTGCTGCCAAGTGCGCTCGGGCATTGTAATCGGGTGCAATTGACCCGCCATTTTTTTGGGTTTAAAAGGAACCTATTAAAATAATTATGTACAGTTTATTTTTTCATTCTCTATACTTAAAAAAAAGGGAATCCAGGGAACGATAACTAAGTGTCAAGAAACTAAGCGAGAATGAGTGCATTGATGAGAAAGTTGGTACAAGTACTAACCCTAATTGGGTTGTACCCCATATTGGCTACCCCACTACAGCCTACACAGCACAATGTTCTGACACACCCCCATAGGCAAGGTGGGGGAGTACAAGCAGTCACAGAAAAAACAAAGCAAGCTCAGGGTGGATCACAACGTCACCACACACTCCGAGCACAAGCAAATGGCCACAAGGCCAGTTCACATGCAGAGTTATATAAAACAAAGCAAACAGTACAGTGATCACAACCTAGCAAGTGAAAGCATGCAGGTATATATATAGATCACAGTACAAGCAAGGTCACGCAGTGAGCAAGTGAGCAAACGTAGGCACAAGGCCTAAAGCAGTACACAGACGCTGATGATCACCAGGCGAAAGTGCCTTGGTGAAGATATCAGCTGTGTTGGCCCGGGTGGCCACGTAAGCAAGACGAAGCTGGCCATGCTGCTGCAACTCTCGAGCCAGGAAGTAGCGCAGAGCGATGTGCTTCGTTCTGTGCTCCAGTCTGTGCTCCTGACACAAGGCAATAGCAGCCTTGTTGTCTACGTTCAGAATTGGGGGAATTAGGCCACTCTCCCAAGTTAGTCAGCTGGTAGGTGAGCCAGCGTAACTCCTGTGCAGCCATGGCTCCTGCGTAGGTCTCAGCCTCACAACTGGAGCTGAGAACAGAAGAAGAGCGGGTAGACCACCAAGAAATAGAGCCGGAACCAAGGCTGAAGGTGTAACCCTGTGACGACCGCTGCATAGCCAGGTCGTCAACCCAAGAGGCGTCTGAGTGTCCAGTGAGGACAACTCGACCCCGTCCTCCAAGCACCAGCCCCATGCCCGAAGTACTGCACAAGTAGCGCAACACCCTCTTAGCAGCCTCCCAGTGCTCTCGCCTGTGTCTCCCAGGCGCAACGTAGCGAGCCAGGATGCTAAGAGGGTACGCAAGGCCTGGTCGCGTGCAGGTCATCAGGTACATGAGGCAGCTCACAAGCTCTGGATACGGGCCACTCGGCTTTATGGAGTCGTCCGAAGGTGGAGTTGAGAGCGAGTGACCGGTAGGCAGAGGAGTGGACTGTGGTGAGGAGAACTGGAAGCCGAAGCGCTGAAGGACCTGCCGCACCATGTGTGACTGAGTCAGGGTGATGGTGCGGCGTGCTCTGTCCCGGGTGATCTGCAAGCCAAGGTAGCTGCGCAGCTCACCCAGGTCCGTGCACGTGTGTCTCTTCTGCAGCTCCGACTTCACAAGGGCCAGTGCCTCAGTGTCAGCAGTGGCAAAGACCAAGTCGTCGACGTATACGAGGATGTAGAACGTCAGCAGAGACAGCGACGGGTCAGCAGTGGAAGGAGTAAACCCAAGAGCCACGAGAGCAAGTGTCATCCTCAGTGTGTCGTGCCACTCACGAGGCGCCTGGCGGAGACCGTAGACTGGCCGTCGGAGGCTCCACTGGGTACCTGCAGGAAACGACCTAGTGAAGCCAGGTGGGCGGCGCAGCCAGATCTCCTCGTGCAGGCTGCCCTGCAAGAAAGCTGTGCTGAAGTCAAGAGAGTGAAGCTCGTAGTCACGCTGAGCGGCAACGTGCAGCAGCACCCGAAGAGTGGTCATCTTTGGGGTAGGGGAGAAGGTCTGGAAGTAGTCAACTCCCTGTCGCTGACTGAAGCCTCGAGCATTGTAACGAGCCTTGAAGATAGGCGGAGAACCCGGCGGCCGCTTCACCCTGAAAATCCACATGCCATCGACTATGTTCGCACCAGAAAGGGGAACTGCATCGACGTAAGTGCCTGTGGACTTCCAGGATGCCATCTCTGCGTCCATGACTGTCTGCCACTGAGAGGAGTAGGGACCCGAAATCGCCTCTGCGTAAGAGCGCGGGGTCGGGATGTCCAGTGCATCTGGGTCTCCCTCAGGTGCAAGCAGCATGGCCACGAGATGAGGTACAGGAGCCGCAAGACACTCAAAGCACCCCTGCCTATTCTCAAAGACGTCCGTGCCAAGAGCACACTCACCCCCGACGGACGGAGGACAGACAGACTCAGACTCAGCAACAAGACTAGTGGCGTAGTCTAGACGACACACAGCAGCAAAGTCCACAAGCTCAACAACTAAGGCAGACGCTGCAGTAGACTCAAACGACGGGTCAGTAACGACAGTAGCGAGGAGACGCGTGACAGTGGGACTAGCAGCACGAACCAAGTCATACTCAGTGTCCGGAACGCCAGGATGAGAGGACGCAAAAGGAGACGGCAGAGGGACGTGTTGTGGAACAGAGGAAGGACGAAGTGCCATGGTGTGAGTACCTAGCACAGGAGGAGGACGCGGACGCGGGACACGATGAGCACAGTGAGCCGTGCGAACAGGGGAGGCAGGACGAGACGCAGGCTCACGACGCTCGGTAAGGGAGGCTGGCTGCTCGTTGTAAGGAGGGGGGGCAGGCAGTGGTGAGTCTGGAGGAAGGGTAGTGGACGAAGGAAGACTAAGAACCTGACGGAGCACCGACTCGGGCGGTAGTGAGGACAGCTGCGGCGGCGGCAAGAAAAACGGGCGCTGCTGCACAGGGCCCCCAGCTCTAGCACCTCCAGCTCCACTGCCTCCAGCGCCAGTGCCTTGAGCGCCAATGCCTCTAGCGCCAGTGCCCCCAGCGCCAGCGCCTCAATACCAGCACCTCCAGCTCTAGCGTCTCCAGTGCCAGGGCCTCCAGCTCTAGTACCTCCAGCTCCAGCTCCCGCAGCTCCAGCGCCTGCAGCTCTAGTGCCTCCGGCTCCAGCACCTCCAGCGCCAGCGCCTCTAGCGCCAACGCCTCCAGTACGAGCACCTCCAACTCCAGCGCCTCCAATGCCAGGGCCTCCAGCTCCAGCTCCCGCAGCTCAAGCGTCTGCAACTCCAGTGCCTCCAGCTCCAGCACCTCCAGCGCAAGAGCCTCTAGCTCCAGTGCCTCCAGCTCCAGCGCCTCCAGCGCCAGCACCTCCAGCTCCAGTGCCTCCAGCGCCAGCACCTCCAGCTCCAGCGCCTCCAGCTCCAGTGCCTCCAGCTCCAGCGCCTCCAGTGCCAGCGCCTCCAGCTCCAGCGTCTCCAGCTCCAGTGCCTCCAGCTCCAGTGCCTCCAGCTCCAGCGCCTCCAGCGCCAGTGCCTCCAGCTCCAGCGCCTTCAGCTGCAGCAGCGCGACTCCGAAGGCGGGTGGGCCGAGCGAACCACTCACGCAGCTGCTGCGGGGAGAGAGGCTCCGCAGTGCCTCCAGCACCAGTGCCTCCAGGACTAGCAACCCCAGTGCCCCGAGTTTCAGTAGCGCGACTCCGAAGGCGGGTGCGCCGAGCAAACCACTCGCGCAGCTGCTGGGGCGAGAGAGGCTCTCGCTGGCTAGACCGCTGCGGCGAGGTACCCAAAGGACTACCAGCAGACGCAGCACCCCCAGGCTCAGTACCCCCAGGCTCAGCACCCCCAGACGTAGCACGCACAGGCTCAGCACCCCCAGGCTCCGCACGCTCAGGCTCAGCACCCCTAGGCTCCGCACGCTCAGGCTCAGCACCCCCAGGCTCCGCACGCTCAGGCTCAGCACCCCCAGACGCAGTACCCCGAGCAGCACCACCCCCAGCAGCACCAGAGTCACCAGTGACCTCGACAGGCTCAGCTAAGGGAAGTGGGTCTACCTGAGACACACCTGAAGGAGCAAGACCCTGAGGAGGGAGGGGGTCTACCTGAGGGGGACACGGAGCGAGGAAGAGCGGCGGAGGGGGGAGAGGGGCAGAGCGGTAGGGGAAGAGACGGTAGAAGGGAACCGACTCGTCAAACGTGACGTCCTGAGAGGGCAGGACACGGCGCGAGGTGGGGTGGTAAAACTACCAGCCAGGCGCGTCAGGAGGGAAGCCAAGGAAGACACAGGGAATGGTGCGGGAGGAGAGCTTGTCCGCGGAGGTATCGCGGACAAAGGCACGAGAGCCCCAGACCCGGAACACCGACGCATCGCCAACCTCCCCCGTCCAGAGGTCTCCGGCAAGGAGACACGGGGCCAGAGGTTGAGCTGATGCACAGCGTACCGGACCGCAAACGACCACAGAAAATGGGGAGCAGCCGCATGGATCATGGAGGTACAAGCGACCTCCACGACTAAGCCAATGCGGCGCTCAGCAATCCCATTCTGCTGCGGGGAGGCCGGAAGCGTGAACAACTGGAGGATGCCCTCCCCATGACAAAAGTCCTGCAAGAGGTCAGAGGAGAACCCACCACCTCTGTCAGAGTGCAGACGCAGGACGGGAAGGTCCGTGCGGAACCGCTCGCGGAGCTGGAGACGAACAGCGCGGATCCAAGGGATCAAGACAGCAGGGACCTCACCCTTGGTGCACAAGGGGAAGACCGTGGTGTAACGCGAGTAGTCGTCAACAACCAGCAGAAAGTACCGCTCGCGGCCCTGTCCAGTGACGCGGGCTGGGCCCCACACGTCCATGTGGAGAGTCTGCAGGGGAGCAGTCGTCGGGGGACACGAGGAGGAATGCAAGGAATGCAGGGCGGGGCAGGCGAGGGTGGGAGGGGAGGGAGAGACCTGGGAAGACCAGAGACAAGGAGGCGGGAGTGCATGCCACGAAGGCGTGGCAAGGAGGGGTGACCAAGGCGGTGGTGCCAGAGGAGAGTCTGGTGCGACAGGAGGCGACACGAGCACGAGGCGGCGACGTGACTTGACGTGGACACCTGAGCAGATGCAGCGACCTGAGGAGGCACAGTAGTTAGTGGGTACAGACTCGACCGAGGCCGACAGGTGAACGTGGCCAGGTGACGGCTTCTCCGGGAGCACGTGCAGATCGCCACACGCTGGCCTCCAGG